AGTGTGATTTGTACAAAAATCATCTGGGTCATCACAGTCACCACCAAGGGCTGTGCTTGGAATACCCTAACACCCTTGACTCTAAAACAGACTCGGGGTCTTCACTGCAGAATGCCTTCCTCACCATGAATAGGCTCCTTTTCTACTGCACTTCTTTGCCTTCAGCACATTCCTGAATGCCTGGCCTGGTCAAAAACAAGTTCCTGTGTGGCTCCCCAGTGCCTATGTACTTCTCTGTGTCCCTGTTACTAATATAGTACTTCCTTTTCCTCCCACCTCTGCTTTTTACAATATTAGTCTTTTCGGGCCTGGCATTTAGCTCAGTGGTTCCGCCACCTGTCCTGAAAGCACAAGGACCGGAGTTCGATCCCCGGTACCGAAACAAACAATACTATCTTTTCACCTTCAGCTTTCAGCTTGCCCGTCCGTAAAGTTCTTGGCCCTTTTTTTGGCTTAAATTTTGGCATTTCTCTTTGTAATTTGCATTTTAACCACAATAAAATTTGACGTGGTCTCTCTCATCTCTACAGTATTTTTGCATAATTGTGTGAAGGAAAAAAAGTGTTTCACTTATTTGTACTGTGAGTTTGCCTGAACTCTGTTATAGATAGGAAAAATACTTAGAAATTATATATTATTCATAACTACATGGCATGTAAATGTGATTATGTTCCAAATTTTTTGAGATCTGAATATTTACATAAAGGATTTTGCTTTTTTTCATATTGTAATTTCTTAACCATTATTAAATAATAAACTTTTTTCACAGCTTGCTGTGTAAAAGTCAAAACCATTAATTCAAACGAGCCTGGAATACACCCCAATCTCAGATCGTTTGGAAGTCCTAGAGATACAGTTGGTGTCGCTTCCTGTCCAGGACACATTTTGGGCCCCCTTAAATAAGAGTTGGAGCAAAGACTCCAACATGACTGCTTTTTATCCAGACCTCAAACAAATAATTTTAGTTCAGCATTTTTAATGATTAGACAAGATTCTTCCATAATGAAGTGGGACGTGGTTCCCAAAAGGTTGAGGATCCATTGTAAAGACGTTTGTAAAACGTGAGACTGGACAAATGTTGAGAACCAACGTATTTTATGAACTCACAAAGTCCTAACATACTCGTGTGTGGGAACTTGGAAGAGTGCTTATTAGCAGCTTATGAACTGCTCAAGTACGACCGTGCTGCATGTCACAGAGCACCTAGACTCAGGTGGCTCTTTCCCCAGGCCCTCACCCCGGCTCTCTTTTCTCTACCAGAAGACAGACCTCTCCATCATGTAGTTCCTCTTCATTTAATGAAGTATTATTTTCAAGGAAAAGACCACTGCTTTATTTTGGTGAGAGGTTGCTTAGGAGATATTTTCCTGCCAAGCAACTATTAGTAGAAAATGCTCATTCTTTCTCAACTGCTGTCTTACAGTAGCAGGGGTCTCCACTTGCTACAGGGACAAGACTGGTATTTACACGTACTTCCTTACCAGTAGTAAAACAGAACAAGCAAAAACCTGTTCCGTGTTCTTAAACTCACACTAGCACTGGGCAGAGTAATTTTGCTATGTGAATTACTGGCCAGATTAGATTAAGAAAAATAATTGCCTTTTGGGGTTCTTCTGTTGAAAGAATGATTAAAAGAAGGAGAGAAGCGAGACTAAGAGGAGGGAAGCCTAGAAAACATCACTGGGGTGAATCCCATCTGACCTTCCTTTGTACTCTGTCCCTTTCCTGCCCTACTCAGCCAAGCTCTGCTTTCAGACATCCCCTTGCTCAGACCAAGCCTTCTCTGTATCTCAAGTGTGCAGTGTCAAAGTCAAAGACAGAGCTGCTCAAGTTCTGTACTGGTTGGCAGTGTTTTGGTTTATTTTGCTGTACCAAGGAACATCGGTAGTCCTTTTAACTGCTTCAGCCTTTAACTTTTAGTACAGCATCAGGTCAGGTTGCCACTAGAAAGTAAATGAATCTAGGGCCAGGGATTTAGCCAGTGGTTTCGCCACCTGCTGCGCAAGTGCAAGGACCCAAGTTTGATCCCCAGAACCAAAAAGAAAAAAAAAGAAAGAAAGAAAGTAAGTAAAAGTAAATGAATCCAGATTAGTGGGATCTGATGTCCTCAGGACCAAGGGGGAAATTCATATAAGCAGATTGAATGTATTACAGACTCCAAATTGTGATTAGACATTTGCTTGATTTTTTTTCCAGAAAGAAAGGTGAAGTATTAGAAACCAGCAACTGACTTATTACCTTGGCATTGAAGGCATTTTCCAAGACCTTTAGGGTAACAAGTAACAATACGTTACCTTGCTGACCATAAGGATTAATTTCCCAATGGGAAAGTCAGCAGCCATACATGAGCTCTGATCTCTAAAACGATTTTACTTGATCAATATTAAACTTTTTCTTTAAGTATTTTTAAATTTAAGCTGCTAAACAGGAATAAGTGGGTTTCAGATTTTTTGGGTGTTTCATCTTGGTGCCGTTTGACTCAGCAGAAAAGCCCCAAGATCAAAATTTTAGACACAGAGAGAGGGCATGGAGGTCAGGACTTGAATAATTCATCTCTGAATTACCAGTCATTTAAAGAAGATTACCAGTATTTATTTTGAGAACTATTAAAATTTTACTTCCTCAGACAAAGTAAAACGCGTGGAAAGGAATAATTTATTTTTAAGTTGTCTGTCATTTTAAGTACTCTTGCATTAGTTAGGTCTGTAATGGAACTTAACACTGAAAATCTCTGGTCACCCCCCCACACTTTAAATAGTGTTTTTGTTCATAAGCCAGTCTTTTTATTTAGACCAGTTCCCTTTCTTGTAACATATTCTGTACAGCCCAGCCTTTAGTTTTTGCCTTCTTCATAATCACCTGGTAGAACTGTCTCCTGCCAGAAGATGAGAAATTTGGATTTCACAGCAGTAGGGAGATTGGGACTCTTTTCCCTGGCATTACATTCTGATAGTATCATAGCAGAGTTTGACCTACTTATTTCACACAGGAAACTGCTGCCAGCACATTAGGGTTTTCTTCCAAACAAAGAGCCGTGGCCTTTATCACACAAGAGGCATGCGTGCAGAACATTTGGGAGCTAACTGCCAGCCTTGCCACCATGTAGTGGCCACACAAGAAAAGAGTGCTTGGAGCCAAGTACAGATGTGATTCTCATCCCAGCCTGCAGAAGTTCACATCTACAAGTGCCTGCAGGACTCCACTAACAGCTACAGAGAACAAGTTGCTTGCTGTCCACTTTTCATATGTCTACAAATATGATCAGACTTTTCTATGTTCCACCCTACTTTGCTTTCCTCTGGCATTCTGAGAAATTATTCTGTTTTTCCCCCTTCACATACAGATTCCTTTTAGTAGCTAACCTGGTTGTCGCCAACATTGAAAGGAAGAGAAATTGAAGGTACTTAAAGAACTCAATGGCCCAAATGAAAAAGACAGGGCTTCGTATTTTTATATGCTTTAAATACTCTTAATGTTTATTTGTTTTAAATAACTAGCATAGCAAATGAAAGAATTAGATTAAGGCATCAGCGTAAGGCATTGACATGTCATATTTTCCTGTATGTTCAGTGACCTGGATAGGAAAAGTCTGAAGACAGTCACATCATCGGTGGTCAGTTAAATGAGACTGGAAAGTGGAGGGAGGCGAGTTACATCCTCAGTGTTCATTTTTGTATGTGGAATAATTTGCTTAGTGGGGAGCCTTTTGAATTGATAGCAGTAAGCCTTTACACACTTCCCTGGTGGGAGAGAGAAAAGGAATAACAAGTACCAGTTTCATATGTGTTGCAAAAAATACCTCTTCTCAAAAGTGTGACGACAAGGAGGAAGTAGTGTGGTGGTTGTAAAATAAGGTGATTTCTGTGCTAATTGATACTGAATACAGAGGAGAATGAATCGCATTTAATGAACAAAACATATAAGTAGTTTCATCAAATGATGGCGCAATGTAGTCTCCCATCAGTTTTAAATGGGGGAAAATGAAATTTTAAAAATACTACTTATTAGCTAAAAAGAAATCTGATTGTTAAGCAACAACAAAATTAACATAAGCATTCTGACAAGTTATCTGAGAATACAACCCATCTTCAGAGTAAATTAAACTACTTGTATCCAGATCCATATGATAATAGAGATTGTTTTAAATTGTATTAGACCTGTGTTCTCCTATTTTTTCTTTGTTTTTATGCAGTAGTCTCTTAGGCTCTAAATAAAGACTCATTTAACTTGTTATTATTGTTATTTTTAAACAATTAAAAAATTTGTTTGCTGTGGGTGAGGGTACATTATTTGTGGATTTGAGGGCAAACACCAGTGACTAGTGGTTTTTGTATATAAGGAATGTTTCTTGTGGCATTTGTTAAGGAATAAAATTACACTGTCTTTAAAGTGATGAGGTCTTGCCTGGGTGTGGTGGTGCACGCCTATAATCCCAGCACTTGATTGCTGTGAGTTCGAGGCCAGCCTGGACTGCCTAGTGAGTCAGTCAAGACTAGGTCTTGCCTGAAATACACAGCAAGACCCTGTCTCACAGAACCAAAGTAAATAAATAAGATGATGTCTAGAGAAATCATGAAAATGATTAAAAGTCAGAAAATAGGATGAATTTTCAACAGTATTGACCTTGTATTTTTTTCTTGTTTAAATAAACTTCAGTCCTTTGACTAGGCAGGTCTTTTTTACTCTGTTCATTTCCCAAGTTGATATTCCCTTGCTATTTTAATAGTTCTGGGATGATTGAATTTTATGCAGAATACTGACGTATTCCTGTGCATTTGTGATAATGTAAACTACTCAATTCAAAGATTTGCTCTCACTAACAACAGACTACGCTTCCAAAGATCCTGGTGGCCAGGACTGCTTGGTCATGTAACTGGTAACGGATGAATTTCTCTTTCTCAATGAGCACATCAGTGAAACTATTAAAGCTAGGAGATAAACACTTATAGTCAGCACCTTTCAAAAGAATTTTATTATGTTCTTTTTTTTATTCCACACAGGAAGAATTTAATGGAAAACCCGACTCCCTCTTTTTTAATGATGGCCAGCGAAGAATTGACTTTGTTCTAGTGTATGAAGATGAAAAGAGAAAGGAGACCAATAAAAAGGGTACAAATGAAAAACAACGGGTAAGGTTTTTTCTTTTTAATTTTCTTTTTTATTCCTTACAATATAGTAAAATGGGGGGGTGCTATTTTTATGTGAGCAATAAAGTGAAACCAGTATCAAAATATCATGTAAGAAACATACTTTCATTTTCTCTGTTCATGTTCCCTCAAAGCATGTTAAAAACAATTTAAAAAATTGAAACAGAAACTTCCTCAGGCTCCTAGCCTCAGTAGGTTTCTGTGGGGCAGAAGAGATGTACTTTAAGCACAACTGGCTATTTGCAATTACATGGAAAAGGAAGCTAATAATTAATGATAACAAATATAATAGCACTAGCACTCAGCGTGTGCTCACCCAGGTATTACAGGTGCATTTTGCATGTGTTTTCTCATGGAGTTCTCATCATAGCACGAAACCTTCTGTTATGACACCATTTATCAATGACAGAGTTGACTCTTAAGAGAAGTTAAATGATTATGTGAAATTATGGCCGCTAGTCTGGCAAGTGTGGAGCTGTGGTTCAAACTTTTGTCTTGAATCCAGAACCTGTGTTCTTCACTTCTCATCTTTTCTGTCACCCTCTTCATCCCCCTTTCCTCCATTGTCAGTCAAGCCATTCACTTTTCCATTTCCTTTTCCTTTAGGTCGAGATATTTTAGGAACCAGCGCCATCTTTGTCTTGAGATATTAAAACAGCAGGCTAGGATTCTAACAACTGCATAGAGCTTCTTTTCATAAACCCAGACTGCATTACTGTCAGAACAGAAGGAATGCATACATGAATGTGTAACTTTTACCCGCTTTGGAAATCCTTCCTTTGTTCTGTTTTTTTCTCTTACATGTGTGCTATGACACACACACAACTTTAATTGTTCCTCTCTATACCTTTTCCCTAGCATACTAATTTTAAATCTGATTTCTTCCAATTTTTCAAACCAAGTGATGAAACCTTTTTAAAAATAAAGTGTTCAGTACTGCTTTATTTATGTTTTTAAGGTAAGTTTGGAGTTTTATATTTGCATAGTGCAGCAGAGTGAGTCCAGGCTTTGGAATCTGACAAATTCTAATCTGCCACTGTACAAGTTGGAGCAGTTCTAGTTATTAACAGGTAAGTTCCCAGATGACATAAGCTGAACAATGAAAGTGACATCAAAGACAACGGTGGCTTCCCGTCTGGAACATGGTTTGAGGCTCTGTTCCTCAAGTCTTTCTGGTACCAGGTTCACACAGAGGCTCTGCCCTACTTAACAGGTACTTGCAGGGTTGTCAGTGCTGTCACCTCAGCTCTGATAGATAGGATGAGAGAGAATGCAACAGGAATTCATGATTCTTCACCACTTTGGTCTGGAATTAACTAGCAATTTTATTAGTCAGAACTCAGGAAGGAAGAAAGGATAGTCTATGTCCGGACAGCTGGTAACTAGTTATGTATTTATGCACATTTTCTTATCAATATTGTATTTATTTTTACATTTTAAAATCTCTGTTGTCAAATTGTATGTTACAAATGGTATATCATATTTTCATTTGTTGAATTTCTTAATAGTGACTCATCATACAATCCGTGACATCTTAGAGTTAGGAAAATGGCACCCCAACACCTAGTTCGTAGGATTATGGTTAAAATGAAATACAGTAGTATATATAGAAGTTATATAAGTGTTTAGCACATATAAATAGTAAATATTAATTTATGTACCTTCCTCTTTCACTTGGTTTTGCTTAAAATAATACCCTGATATAGAAGACATCACTCTCATTTATATAGTTTTACCACTGGTGTAAAATTGCTTAGAGTATGTTATCATTTTCCATAGACACTAAGATTTGTTCTATGTCACCATAGTCACCACTGTCAAATATTCATTAAGCATACATATGGCAGTAGAACTGTATTAAGACTATGTAAACTAAGTTAAACTGACCTAATCCATTAAAGTATAAAAGAAACAGTTCTAGCTTTAGACAAGAGATTTACTGCCATGGTGAAGGGATCCTAGAGCTATTTACATTATTTATAAATTCTGCATTTGCTTCAGACAGAAACAGGTCCCACAGTAACTGTCATAAACCAGGAAGAGAAAAATAATCATCATTAATTTTGGCAATCCTTGAACTCATGGACTCTTATATGGTACTTAGATATTGGCTTTTATAAGCCATACTTTGTTTGTCAGTTTGTATTTGTACATGAAACTTAATTTATACTTCACCAGAATTCAAAGTTCTGGTTTGGAATCACATTTTAATTAATTGGAAAAACATTTTAAAGTTTCCTTATACTCCTTCTGAGGACTTACTGATGATGTAGAACAATACCAAAGAGAGGCAATTTTAAAATCCTGTTTTCTTTGAAAGAAAAAATAAAATGCATATGTAAATCATACTGATTTCCAAAAGCAATGTCAAGGTTGACTTTGCCAGGGTTCATAAAAAATGTATTGTAAAATATGTTTTAAGACTGGAAAAAGAAGTAGAAGGGCTACAAGCACCAGAAACAGAGGCTTAAAAGATTGTATCTTCTTTTGAGCAAAAGGGAAAATGCTATTCTAGCCAAACATCCAAATAGCACGTAACTCAGTCCTCTTCTATTAGTGAAATCACTTTGGAAACTTTTCACCTCCCTTTAAAAGCATAAACTGTGTACATTTAGCTTTTACATGGGGATGACTGTAAGTTTCCACAAGTACTCATTTCAGCTCATACTACGCTTGGAACTGAATCAGTTTGGATTTTTTTTTTTTTAATTTCTAATCACAAGAAAATGAAGCTCAAAATGACTTAAATGTTAAAAGGAGATGATTGGTTTTTTTGGTCTGATTTAAGAAATAGTCTGGAAATGGAGTCATCTATGGATTAGATAATTTATTGGCTTAATGAGGCCACTCCGTCCTTCTGCTCTGCCATTCTTAATGTGTTGGTTCTATTTAAACTGACTTAGTTGGTTATAAAGTGACTGCTGCAACTCCAAGTAGCCAGAGGCAGAAAGAGAAAACATCCTTTCTTATGGCTTTTTCTTTTAAGAGAGATTAGAAGGATCCTCTAGAAGGGACCTTAGTAGACTTCCCATTACAGTTCATTGTCTCTACCAGTCTATTTCTAAATCAACCACAGTGGGCTCTCCATGGCCATTTGCTGCACATCCAGAGTCATCCCACTACAGTTAGAAAATATTTGGAGGAAAAAAAATTGCATTTGTATTGAACATATGTAGAAATACATTTTTGTCATTATTCCCTAAACAATTTAGTGTAGCAACCATTTACATAGCATTTTATTGTGTTAGATATTAGTAGTCTTTAAATGTATAGGAAAATACACAAATACATCATTTTATTACAGGAATTTGTGCATGCAAAGAGCTCGTTCTGCACAGGCAACCTGGAATCTGTCCCTTATACATCCAGGGGACTGCTGGCAAGGTGAATGAGTTACCTTCATTGGCATAGACTCATCAAGATTGGTCTAATTTATCTCTTGAGTCATCTGATCACCAGTCCTTGAAAAACATTTAGGCTTTTCTTTCTTTGTATTAAAAGAATGGCTGTTCATAGGCAGCCAGCATTGTCTAGCACAGTAGATGATTAGTGCAGCTAAATATGTTTAACCTGTATTGTGAAGAGCAAAGATGTTTTAAATAAAACATTCTCATGTATTTCTCCAACTCCTCCTACTTGTTTTTATTAGCAATTGCTTCTTTCTTCCTACTTCCTTTTGCTAGAACTGCTAACAAGTGGCAGAATTGATCTATTTTGAATTTTGTTTTGTCTTACACTTAGCTCATCATTTATGACCACATGATGGTGTAATTCAATTGATGGTAAAAGTGGGGTCTAAACAGCAGGAAAACAGTATAAGCAATCCTGAATGCCTAAATATGAGTTTTATTTTTTTATCCATCCCTAAAAGCTGATGGAAATTTTACATCCTTGAAATTGAGAAAAAGATTACATATGGAAGTATATGTTTGTATTTCATATCTGGTCTTAAAAAATTTTTTTTTAAGGTATTGAGGGTTGAACTCAGAGCCTCATGCTGGCTAGGCAAGCATTTTACCACTGAATTACATCTACAGCCATTTTTTATATTTTCTAATTTTATAACAGTGTCTTGTTAAATTGCCCAGGCTGGCCTTCAACTTGTGATCCTTCTGCCTCAGCCTGCCAAAAATCTAGGATTACAGGTGTGTGTTTAGGTTGGCCTAAAGAACTTTTTAGTGTGTGACAGAAGGGGTTTTGCTTAGAGACTACAGAATAATGGATTTTTAAAAAATTACTGATCGAGCTTATTTATATAATTATAATATAGTCTTATCCAAACTTGTAAATACTGTGAGACAACTAATTGGTTTTAGATCTTATGAGCTTTTTAAATTGTTGTGCATTTGTTTCAGCTAAGTCAGCCTGAGGTCAGAATTGTTTGCTTAGAAGCTTTGGAAATGTTGAAAGTTCATGAAAAAATGTTAGCATGATAGACATTGTGTGTCACTCCAGTTAATGAGGTTGTGTATCTGTTAGTGCAATTTTACAATAATCATGAAGATATTGTACATTTTTTATTAACTGTTCTCAGTTATTTTAAATTGTTTTGCTATTGTCAGAAGCATTTTCAATTGTAGTTTGTGGCTTACTGTTACATATAAAAGAGAAGTTTGTTATTTTTTTTTTTTCTGTAATGTCTGTCTAGGCACCTTAATAACCTCTTTTTGGTTCTGAGTTTCAAGTGCTTCTTTTAAGTGTTTTCAAATGAGGGCCATTTTGTTTACAAGGAAGTTTTACTCTTTTTGCCATTTTATATTGCAATGATTAAGATTTCTTGAGTAAAACCAACAACACATCATACTCATCATTGTATTGTTCGTGATTTTAATGGGAATGTTCACAAAATTCCACCACTGAGTATCATACTTGCTGTAAATTTTTGGTAGATTTCTTTAAAAAAGTTAAAGGGGTTCTCTTTTAGTTCCTGATAAGTTTTTATGATAACTGGTTTTTATGCTCGGTCAAATGTATTTTTAAAC